TCAAACTAACGTTACATAAACACAAACTTTCTGACACGTGAATACGTTATACAAAGCTGAAATGTCTAATTGGACGGCACTTCAGACATAACTGTAGAGCTTTGTGTTCTAAAGGCTAAGTTTTGAAGATAGAAGTGCTCCGGCCATTGCCTCGCTCGGTGATATACCTTGTGGGTTTGTTGCAGCGTAAAAGTTGCATGAGATGTCTTCTGAACTTCTGTGAGAGCATATACAGCAGAGGGTTCATACAGCAGTGAGAAAAGCAAGGATACGAAATTTCAAAGGCCATGGAGAAATTTTCTCTGCATTACAGTCTTTCAACTCGTGAAAAGATGCAATCAAAAACATAATATTGTAAGGTCCCAGCAGATGAAAATGCTATGACAATACATAACACCATGACTACAGTCCTGTACCTTTTTCTGTTTGAGGCCTGCAAGACTGTCCAGAGGATGGCAGAATAGCAGAAAGCTATGATGGCAAATGGGAAGAAGAAGAGCAGTAACACTTGAAGATGATTTGCCAGGTTGACATCAGCTTCATTAGATTCCTCCTCACACCCAATGCCATTATTCCCCAATCTACCACCTTTACTTTGATTGCATCGCTCACAGATGCAGCAATGCTGATGATCCAGGCAGCTGCACAGAAAACCTTTGCACACCTCTGCCTCCTTACAGGGTTGCATGGCCAGTTGTGCAGCACCACTGCTATGAAACGATCCACAGTCATGGCATCAGCAGAATGACACTACTGTACACACCAACATAGTACGCAGCAGTGTTGAATTTGCAGGCGAAATCACCAAAGACCCAGTGGTGCATGTAATAGACAGCCAGAATGGAAGCGTGATGGTGAAGAGCAAATCTGCGCATGCCAGGTTTAGGATGAAGCATTTGTGACATTTTTCACCTTCTCATAGATGACAACAACACATACAGGGAGAACATTGGCTATAAGACTTAAGATAAGACCAAAATGAAGAAAACACCACTGAGGGTATTGAAGTCAAACATCTCAGGACACTCAAGATGATCAGTGTTGTTTAAATCTCTGATGCCCATCGTGGAGAAGTTCATCATTGTAGGTTTCTAGGTGAGGGCATGGCAAATGTTATAAACATAGCAGATTACAGAGATCAACCTATTAGTAGTTTGCAATAAAATAAACATTGAGAGATATTAAAAAAATGGAGAAAAACTAAATAAAAATTGTTTACCTTTTAATAAGAAGAGTAAGAACCTTTCCCTGAACATCAGTTGCCACGTCTTATGCTGAATTGAAGTGTGGAGAACAAGCCAACCAAATAAAGAGATAGCTCATTGTTCCTCTTTTTGTTTCACATTAAGTCAGAATTGCAGCAACAGTTTTACAGTTTGAGCATGAACATTACTGCAAAGTCATTTCCGTCATAGCTTTAGCGCTTAGTTATTTTCTGCATGGTGGTTACTTGTACTTTGCTTTTCAGCTAAAAATTAAGAAGCCATGAGAACAGAAGCTGGGGGGCAGTAGCTTCGACCGCAGTTATTTATGCATAGACAGTGAAAGGGTGATACAGTGCCCTTTTGGGCAAGGCACAAAAAAGAACATTTTACACAAACCATCTATTAAATGAGATCAGTTTAGAACTTAGCTACAAAGACGCTTGATCCTGGAGTGACCTGGCTGATACACTTCAATACAATTTCTAATCAACATTAAAAGACGACCAGCAGCCTGAGCAGATTGCAATAAAAATACTTCTTTTTAAAAGCCTTTATACTTGCATCCAGCAGTGAAATCCATCAAAAACACACAGATTATGATGACAACATCATCCGGGATCTGACCCAGTCAGTGACTTCCTAAAATGTATACCTGAGCTGAAGACGTAGAGACACCCACAGTCAATACAAAGAACTACTGCTAAATAGTCATATATGAGAAACAATAGTTTTCACTCTTAAATCATCATAAGATAAGAATTTGTAATTGATCACAAAACATTTGTTTAAAGGCTTTGATCTCTAGTGGTTTTTGTTTAAAATACCAATGAAATAGGAATTAGGTTTCCTTATAGGCCTATGGAACCTGGAGATCATCATCTGTGAGAGAGAGAAGAGAGAGAGGGGGGGAGAGAGAGGGAGGGGTCTGCTAGTACGTAAATGCCCCCATTGAGGTGCAACGTGTTGTGTTTAAACCGGAGCTTATGCCATTGTTTTAATATTTCTCTGCAGCTGCTTGCTTCAGATGATATCCTGCTCTTTTAGTGAAGGATGATGATTGCAATACACTGCATCATAAATAATATCTCCATACATGTATGACCTGTTGTTATAAGAGAATATAAAGTTAAACCTTTTAAACCGGAGTAATCTGAGTGTTTTTATTAAACTTACTGCTGATGAATAATGTCATAAACTCACAAAATAAACCTACAGAACAACATGGGGCAGGACCAGTCGCTGTGTGTAGTAAGAGACTAAAGGTGCAAGTGTGTGTGTGTGTGTGTGTGTGTGTGTGTGTGTGTGTGTGTGTGTGTGTGTGTGTGTGTGTGTGTGTGTGTATAAGAGAATGGTGTGGAAGTAAAATGGGCATACCAGAGGGCGCACTCACACTAGGCAATCTGTACCATGCTCAAGCATGTTTGACCCCCTAAGTCCCCCAGTGCATCTGACTTGTGTGAGTGCGCCTTGGCCCTGACACGGTTTGAAGAGCTGGGTATAGTAGTAGATCATGCACAAGCACAGGAATGCATCGTACACATGACGTAGGCTAGACTCGATCCCCCTTTTGCATAATCAAGAAATCCAGAAGTGTAAGAGGGCTGTTTCTGACCAAAATGACTCAGAAAAAGCAACAAAATCAATGAAGTTTCAGACATGTTTCCTGTGTTGTTCTACATTGTAAAACTTTTCTGTCTGTTCTTGTGTCATATTGACTGCCTCATTTCTCCCCTATAAGTCATGGTCCTATCAACAGTAAGTTTGCAAAGCAGGTCCCTCTATCTGTAGCTTAGATTTCTTCAAAGGCTCATGTCTGGATTTAACACCTGGTTTGTCTACTCTAACTTAAGATGCAGTTGTTAGCATGTAAGGCTGAAGCTTATATAAGTAGGCTAACCAAACTTTAAATTGAAGTCAAGATTTCAGACAAGCATCCGTTTTGAAGAAGTTTGAGTCAAATAGCTATGCTACAGTGGTAGCATACATGTAGGCTACTACAGGCTTCAAACCCCAGAAGCCTAGGAAAATCTAATGACAACTAAAATGATCCAATACATTACACTCAAATGATTAAATGTGTTAAAAGTCTCAAAGATAACCGAGTTCATACCTTCTTAATCCTCCAGCTTGGTTTAAGAGTTTGACAGAGGAGCATAAAGTAGCCTAACCTACCACAGTCTCGAATAAATGCAGACACAAACAGTTTTCCCATATCCGGTTTTACGGCCAGGTAACATAGACTGTAAATATTACCAGGTAAGTGGGATAACTTGCTTTCAAAATAAAAGCCCAAAACGATTGCACAAATAACATGGAAAATAGAATAAGCCTCATATCATGTAAGTTTCCGGATTAATGGACCCAATTAGATATTGACATTTAATTATATAATTTTAAATGCTATTTACAAGCTCAGAGACTTAGTAAAAATGAAAAACAACCCCTGTTGTTGTTGTTTTTTTGTTTAAACTCAAGCTGTGTATTCTATGTATTAAGAGCATTTTTCATGGATATATTTTGAAAATATGTGCATGAAACATATGCAAATGGTAAATGGACTTGTGTGGCTTGTATAACTCTTTTCTAGTCTTCTGACTTCTCAAATCACACTTAACCATTCACACCCATTCACTCACACTGATGACAGAGACTTCTATGTAAAGTGTCCATCAGTGTCAAATGATGAAATAATAATAATAATAATAATAATAATAAAAATAATAAAATTTACTAAATCATTAACTCTGTCTTGGACTCTTCCCAGAAAAAGTACTTCAACAACATTTTATATCCACCATATTCCTGCATGTCACCAAATATTGTTGTAAAAAAGAAGTGAAAGCTAATGAAATTAGATTCCACTTTATTCAAATATCAAAGTAACAACAAAGCAAAGTTCAGTTGAAAGGGCAAAGTATGTTAAAGGGTGACAGCTTTGCCACATACAATTATACACACAAAATGCTTTTCATTTTGACTATACATATTTGTCATTAACTTACCACATTAAAAACTTTAAATTGAAACAGAGCCATAGATTCTTAATGGAAATGTGCAAAATCATTTTTTAAATCAAACTAACGTTACATAAACACAAACTTTCTGAACCACGTGAATACGTTATACAAAGCTGAATGTCTAATTGGACGGCACTTCAGACATAACTGTAGAGCTTTGTGTTCTAAAGGCTAAGTTTTGAAAGATAGAAGTGCTCCGGCCATTGCCTCGCTTGGTGATATACCTTGTGGGTTTGTTGCAGCGTAAAAGTTGCATGAGATGTCTTCTGAACTTCTGTGAGAGCATATACAGCAGAGGGTTCATACAGCAGTGAGAAAAAGCAAGGATACGAAAAATTTCAAAGGCCATGGAGAAATTTTCTCTTGCATTACAGTCTTTCAACTCGTGAAAAGATGCAATCAAAAACATAATATTGTAAGGTCCCCAGCAGATGAAAAATGCTATGACAATACATAACACCATGACTACAGTCCTGTACCTTTTTCTGTTTGAGGCCTGCAAGACTGTCCAGAGGATGGCAGAATAGCAGAAAGCTATGATGGCAAATGGGAAGAAGAAGAGCAGTAACACTTGAAGATGATTTGCCAGGTTGACATCAGCTTCATTAGATTCCTCCTCACACCCAATGCCATTATTCTCCCAATCTACCACCTTTACTTTGATTGCATCGCTCACAGATGCAGCAATGCTGATGATCCAGGCAGCTGCACAGAAAACCTTTGCACACCTCTGCCTCCTTACAGGGTTGCATGGCCAGTTGTGCAGCACCACTGCTATGAAACGATCCACAGTCATGGCAGTCAGCAGAATGACACTACTGTACACACCAACATAGTACGCAGCAGTGTTGAATTTGCAGGCGAAATCACCAAAGACCCAGTGGTGCATGTGATCGACAGCCCAGAATGGAAGTGTGATGGTGAAGAGCAAATCTGCGCATGCCAGGTTTAGGATGAAGACATTTGTGACATTTTTCACCTTCTCATAGATGACAACAACACATACAAGGAGAACATTGGCTATAAGACTTAAGATGAAGACCAAAATGAAGAAAACACCACTGAGGGTATTGAAGTCAAACATCTCAGGACACTCAAGATGATCAGTGTTGTTTAAATCTCTGATGCCCATCGTGGAGAAGTTCATCATTGTAGGTTTCTAGGTGAGGGCATGGCAAATGTTATAAACATAGCAGATTACAGAGATCAACCTATTAGTAGTTTGCAATAAAATAAACATTGAGAGATATTAAAAAAATGGAGAAAAACTAAATAAAAATTGTTTACCTTTTAATAAGAAGAGTAAGAACCTTTCCCTGAACATCAGTTGCCACGTCTTATGCTGAATTGAAGTGTGGAGAACAAGCCAACCAAATAAAGAGATAGCTCATTGTTCCTCTTTTTGTTTCACATTAAGTCAGAATTGCAGCAACAGTTTTACAGTTTGAGCATGAACATTACTGCAAAGTCATTTCCGTCATAGCTTTAGCGCTTAGTTATTTTCTGCATGGTGGTTACTTGTACTTTGCTTTTCAGCTAAAAATTAAGAAGCCATGAGAACAGAAGCTGGGGGGCAGTAGCTTCGACCGCAGTTATTTATGCATAGACAGTGAAAGGGTGATACAGTGCCCTTTTGGGCAAGGCACAAAAAAGAACATTTTACACAAACCATCTATTAAATGAGATCAGTTTAGAACTTAGCTACAAAGACGCTTGATCCTGGAGTGACCTGGCTGATACACTTCAATACAATTTCTAATCAACATTAAAAGACGACCAGCAGCCTGAGCAGATTGCAATAAAAATACTTCTTTTTAAAAGCCTTTATACTTGCATCCAGCAGTGAAATCCATCAAAAACACACAGATTATGATGACAACATCATCCGGGATCTGACCCAGTCAGTGACTTCCTAAAATGTATACCTGAGCTGAAGACGTAGAGACACCCACAGTCAATACAAAGAACTACTGCTAAATAGTCATATATGAGAAACAATAGTTTTCACTCTTAAATCATCATAAGATAAGAATTTGTAATTGATCACAAAACATTTGTTTAAAGGCTTTGATCTCTAGTGGTTTTTGTTTAAAATACCAATGAAATAGGAATTAGGTTTCCTTATAGGCCTATGGAACCTGGAGATCATCATCTGTTAGAGAGAGAAAGAGAGAGAGAGGGAGGGGTCTGCTAGTACGTAAATGCCCCCATTGAGGTGCAACGTGTTGTGTTTAAACCGGAGCTTATGCCATTGTTTTAATATTTCTCTGCAGCTGCTTGCTTCAGATGATATCCTGCTCTTTTAGTGAAGGATGATGATTGCAATACACTGCATCATAAATAATACATCCACACATGTATGACCTGTTGTTATAAGAGAATATAAAGTTAAACCTTTTAAACCGGAGTAATCTGAGTGTTTTTATTAAACTTACTGCTGATGAATAATGTCATAAACTCACAAAATAAACCTACAGAACAACATGGGGCAGGACCAGTCGCTGTGTGTAGTAAGAGACTAAAGGTGCAAGTGTGTGTGTGTGTGTGTGTGTGTGTGTGTGTGTGTGTGTGTGTGTGTGTGTGTGTGTGTGTGTGTGTGTGTGTGTGTGTGTGTGTATAAGAGAATGGTGTGGAAGTAAAATGGGCATACCAGAGGGCGCACTCACACTAGGCAATCTGTACCATGCTCAAGCATGTTTGACCCCCTAAGTCCCCCAGTGCATCTGACTTGTGTGAGTGCGCCTTGGCCCTGACACGGTTTGAAGAGCTGGGTATAGTAGTAGATCATGCACAAGCACAGGAATGCATCGTACACATGACGTAGGCTAACTCGATCCCCTTTTGCATAATCAAGAAATCCAGAAGTGTAAGAGGGCTGTTTCTGACCAAAATGACTCAGAAAAAGCAACAAAATCAATGAAGTTTCAGACATGTTTCCTGTGTTGTTCTACATTGTAAAACTTTTCTGTCTGTTCTTGTGTCATATTGACTGCCTCATTTCTCCCCTATAAGTCATGGTCCTATCAACAGTAAGTTTGCAAAGCAGGTCCCTCTATCTGTAGCTTAGATTTCTTCAAAGGCTCATGTCTGGATTTAACACCTGGTTTGTCTACTCTAACTTAAGATGCAGTTGTTAGCATGTAAGGCTGAAGCTTATATAAGTAGGCTAACCAAACTTTAAATTGAAGTCAAGATTTCAGACAAGCATCCGTTTTGAAGAAGTTTGAGTCAAATAGCTATGCTACAGTGGTAGCATACATGTAGGCTACTACAGGCTTCAAACCCCAAAGCCTAGGAAAATCTAATGACAACTAAAATGATCCAATACATTACACTCAAATGATTAAATGTGTTAAAAGTCTCAAAGATAACCGAGTTCATACCTTCTTAATCCTCCAGCTTGGTTTAAGAGTTTGACAGAGGAGCATAAAGTAGCCTAACCTACCACAGTCTCGAATAAATGCAGACACAAACAGTTTTCCCATATCCGGTTTTACGGCCAGGTAACATAGACTGTAAATATTACCAGGTAAGTGGGATAACTTGCTTTCAAAATAAAAGCCCAAAACGATTGCACAAATAACATGGAAAATAGAATAAGCCTCATATCATGTAAGTTTCTGGATTAATGGACCCAATTAGATATTGACATTTAATTATATAATTTTAAATGCTATTTACAAGCTCAGAGACTTAGTAAAAATGAAAAACAACCCCTGTTGTTGTTGTTTTTTTGTTTAAACTCAAGCTGTGTATTCTATGTATTAAGAGCATTTTTCATGGATATATTTTGAAAATATGTGCATGAAACATATGCAAATGGTAAATGGACTTGTGTGGCTTGTATAACTCTTTTCTAGTCTTCTGACTTCTCAAAGCACTTTTTTACAATGCAAATCACACTTAACCATTCACACCCATTCACTCACACTGATGACAGAGACTTCTATGTAAAGTGTCCATCAGTGTCAAATGATGAAATAATAATAATAATAATAATAATAAAAATAATAAAATTTACTAAATCATTAACTCTGTCTTGGACTCTTCCCAGAAAAAGTACTTCAACAACATTTTATATCCACCATATTCCTGCATGTCACCAAATATTGTTGTAAAAAAGAAGTGAAAGCTAATGAAATTAGATTCCACTTTATTCAAATATCAAAGTAACAACAAAGCAAAGTTCAGTTGAAAGGGCAAAGTATGTTAAAGGGTGACAGCTTTGCCACATACAATTATACACACAAAATGCTTTTCATTTTGACTATACATATTTGTCATTAACTTACCACATTAAAAACTTTAAATTGAAACAGAGCCATAGATTCTTAATGGAAATGTGCAAAATCATTTTTTAAATCAAACTAACGTTACATAAACACAAACTTTCTGAACCACGTGAATACGTTATACAAAGCTGAATGTCTAATTGGACGGCACTTCAGACATAACTGTAGAGCTTTGTGTTCTAAAGGCTAAGTTTTGAAAGATAGAAGTGCTCCGGCCATTGCCTCGCTTGGTGATATACCTTGTGGGTTTGTTGCAGCGTAAAAGTTGCATGAGATGTCTTCTGAACTTCTGTGAGAGCATATACAGCAGAGGGTTCATACAGCAGTGAGAAAAAGCAAGGATACGAAAAATTTCAAAGGCCATGGAGAAATTTTCTCTTGCATTACAGTCTTTCAACTCGTGAAAAGATGCAATCAAAAACATAATATTGTAAGGTCCCAGCAGATGAAAAATGCTATGACAATACATAACACCATGACTACAGTCCTGTACCTTTTTCTGTTTGAGGCCTGCAAGACTGTCCAGAGGATGGCAGAATAGCAGAAAGCTATGATGGCAAATGGGAAGAAGAAGAGCAGTAACACTTGAAGATGATTTGCCAGGTTGACATCAGCTTCATTAGATTCCTCCTCACACCCAATGCCATTATTCCCCCAATCTACCACCTTTACTTTGATTGCATCGCTCACAGATGCAGCAATGCTGATGATCCAGGCAGCTGCACAGAAAACCTTTGCACACCTCTGCCTCCTTACAGGGTTGCATGGCCAGTTGTGCAGCACCACTGCTATGAAACGATCCACAGTCATGGCAGTCAGCAGAATGACACTACTGTACACACCAACATAGTACGCAGCAGTGTGAATTTGCAGGCGAAATCACCAAAGACCCAGTGGTGCATGTGATAGACAGCCCAGAATGGAAGTGTGATGGTGAAGAGCAAATCTGCGCATGCCAGGTTTAGGATGAAGACATTTGTGACATTTTTCACCTTCTCATAGATGACAACAACACATACAAGGAGAACATTGGCTATAAGACTTAAGATAAGACCAAAATGAAGAAAACACCACTGAGGGTATTGAAGTCAAACATCTCAGGACACTCAAGATGATCAGTGTTGTTTAAATCTCTGATGCCCATCGTGGAGACGTTCATCATTGTAGGTTTCTAGGTGAGGGCATGGCAAATGTTATAAACATAGCAGATTACAGAGATCAACCTATTAGTAGTTTGCAATAAAATAAACATTGAGAGATATTAAAAAAATGGAGAAAAACTAAATAAAATTGTTTACCTTTTAATAAGAAGAGTAAGAACCTTTCCCTGAACATCAGTTGCCACGTCTTATGCTGAATTGAAGTGTGGAGAACAAGCCAACCAAATAAAGAGATAGCTCATTGTTCCTCTTTTTGTTTCACATTAAGTCAGAATTGCAGCAACAGTTTTACAGTTTGAGCATGAACATTACTGCAAAGTCATTTCCGTCATAGCTTTAGCGCTTAGTTATTTTCTGCATGGTGGTTACTTGTACTTTGCTTTTCAGCTAAAAATTAAGAAGCCATGAGAACAGAAGCTGGGGGGCAGTAGCTTCGACCGCAGTTATTTATGCATAGACAGTGAAAGGGTGATACAGTGCCCTTTTGGGCAAGGCACAAAAAAGAACATTTTACACAAACCATCTATTAAATGAGATCAGTTTAGAACTTAGCTACAAAGACGCTTGATCCTGGAGTGACCTGGCTGATACACTTCGATACAATTTCTAATCAACATTAAAAGACGACCAGCAGCCTGAGCAGATTGCAATAAAAATACTTCTTTTTAAAAGCCTTTATACTTGCATCCAGCAGTGAAATCCATCAAAAACACACAGATTATGATGACAACATCATCCGGGATCTGACCCAGTCAGTGACTTCCTAAAATGTATACCTGAGCTGAAGACGTAGAGACACCCACAGTCAATACAAAGAACTACTGCTAAATAGTCATATATGAGAAACAATAGTTTTCACTCTTAAATCATCATAAGCTAAGAATTTGTAATTGATCACAAAACATTTGTTTAAAGGCTTTGATCTCTAGTGGTTTTTGTTTAAAATACCAATGAAATAGGAATTAGGTTTCCTTATAGGCCTATGGAACCTGGAGATCATCATCTGTGAGAGAGAAAGAGAGAGAGAGGGAGGGGTCTGCTAGTACGTAAATGCCCCCATTGAGGTGCAACGTGTTGTGTTTAAACCGGAGCTTATGCCATTGTTTTAATATTTCTCTGCAGCTGCTTGCTTCAGATGATATCCTGCTCTTTTAGTGAAGGATGATGATTGCAATACACTGCATCATAAATAATACATCCACACATGTATGACCTGTTGTTATAAGAGAATATAAAGTTAAACCTTTTAAACCGGAGTAATCTGAGTGTTTTTATTAAACTTACTGCTGATGAATAATGTCATAAACTCACAAAATAAACCTACAGAACAACATGGGGCAGGACCAGTCGCTGTGTGTAGTAAGAGACTAAAGGTGCAAGTGTGTGTGTGTGTGTGTGTGTGTGTGTGTGTGTGTGTGTGTGTGTGTGTGTGTGTGTGTGTGTGTGTGTGTGTGTGTGTGTGTGATAAGAGAATGGTGTGGAAGTAAAATGGGCATACCAGAGGGCGCACTCACACTAGGCAATCTGTACCATGCTCAAGCATGTTTGACCCCCTAAGTCCCCCAGTGCATCTGACTTGTGTGAGTGCGCCTTGGCCCTGACACGGTTTGAAGAGCTGGGTATAGTAGTAGATCATGCACAAGCACAGGAATGCATCGTACACATGACGTAGGCTAAACTCGATCCTCCTTTTGCATAATCAAGAAATCCAGAAGTGTAAGAGGGCTGTTTCTGACCAAAATGACTCAGAAAAAGCAACAAAATCAATGAAGTTTCAGACATGTTTCCTGTGTTGTTCTACATTGTAAAACTTTTCTGTCTGTTCTTGTGTCATATTGACTGCCTCATTTCTCCCCTATAAGTCATGGTCCTATCAACTGTAAGTTTGCAAAGCAGGTCCCTCTATCTGTAGCTTAGATTTCTTCAAAGGCTCATGTCTGGATTTAACACCTGGTTTGTCTACTCTAACTTAAGATGCAGTTGTTAGCATGTAAGGCTGAAGCTTATATAAGTAGGCTAACCAAACTTTAAATTGAAGTCAAGATTTCAGACAAGCATCCGTTTTGAAGAAGTTTGAGTCAAATAGCTATGCTACAGTGGTAGCATACAT